TGCCCGCGCCCTGGGATAGGGGAGGAGGGGCAGAGGCTGGGGCATGGAAGCCGTACTCCACACCCACTCCACACCCACTCTCAGCCTGGCCTCAGCCCCAGCCCCCACCTCCCGCTCATTCAGTTTTTCCACCTCCTGTGGTGGGCCACCTCCCAGCCAGCACGCCTGTGGTCTCGGGAGGGGTTGAGCTTGTTGACACCCATCTTTAAGAAGCTGAAGCTGGAGAGGGCTTAGAGCACCAACCAGGCCCCTGCTACCATTTTACAGATGAGAACACTGAGGCAGGCAGTGCCCACAGTAGAGGCGGTGTCTGCGGAGGGGAGGGAGGGTCTTTGGGGTGGGCCTGGGGGTGGAAATCCAGTCTTCTGCGGTGGGGGACACAGGTGTGTCAGCTTGATGCTGGGGAAGAAATTAGGCCAGAGGTGAGGAGCCTCTTTGAGGCTCAGTTTTCTCATGTGACTTGGGAACAGTGGTCATACCCATGTCCCAGTGCTGGGATGAGGACTCAGAGAGACATGGATGCGAGTAAATGACGCTGCACGGTGCCTGCTGGGAGCCAGCTTCCAGGAGGAGGTGCTGCATGCTGCTGTGTTCGTCTCTCAGCGCCCTCGCCCTCGCCTGCTCCGGCCCCGCTGCCCTGGCTTCCCGGCTGCACTGAGCCCACCCAGCACCTTCTCCCTGTTGCTCCTGGCCCCACCTTGCTTTTCCTTTTTCCTGGGCTCCCACTGCCACCTCACATATTTCTACCGTGTGTGTCTCAGTCTCCCCACTAGAGCTCAGCTCCCCAGGGCAGGGACGTGGACGTGTTCGATGCTGTCTGCCCAGCACCTAGAATAACAGGTGCTCAGTACATATGAATGAATGAATGAATGAATGAGTGTTTCCGCCTTTGCCCCTGACTTTTTCCACTATTAAATGGGAAGACGCTGAAATGTCTTTAAGGCTCCTGAGCTGCTGCACCTCAATCCCACCCCCACTTCTGGGCCTCCGCCCCCCCTTGCTGGCTCCCGGGCATCTTTCTAGCACTTGGCACAGCTGTGGATCAGACTCCTACCTTTGCACCTGTGCCCTGTTCCTGCAGGGCTGCCAGCCGAGGATGGGCCCTCACAGGAGCCCAGTGACACAGGCAGTTCTGGGAAGAGCTGGGTCTTGGGTGCTGAGTGTCCCTGCCTGCTGGTTCTGTGGTTTCGGGGGATCTCCTGGGAACCTAGGACAGAGCTGAGGTCAGAGGCTGTTGGCCTAAGACGGAGAGGAATTCCCTGCATTGGTGTGTGTGTGTGCGCGCGCGTGCACGCCTGGGCGAGAGAACATGTGTGTCCATGGGAGCTAGCGCCCCAGTGTCTGCTTGTCAGAGAAGTAGTTGGCGGGGGCTGGTGGCATTGCAATGACTCAGGGACGAAGGCGGAGGGTGGATCCCAGAGCTGCCTCCTTCAGCTGTCCTGAGGAGGGGACCAAAGATTTCTCCAGTGGGAACAGAGCAAGAGTCACATCCCAGTCCCGCCTCCCCCTTCCTCCCTGGATGAACTCAGACAAGTGATCTGGCCTCGGCCTGCCTGAGCTGTGAAGTCGGCACACGCCCACCGACTTCTGGGGGCGGAAGCGGGATTCTGTATAGCGCCTGCAACCTTACCTGGCACACTGGGAGGCGCTTAACAGATGGCCCATTGTTTTCCTCCCTCCCGGAAGGGCCACCACTCAGTGCAGGTGACTCCTGCCCTAAGAGGACAGAGGCCCATGTTAAAGAGGGGAAATGGGCCACAGACCCTGATGTGAGGCAGCTCTGAGGCCTTTGGTGGGTGAGGGGTGGACCCTGACGGGCTCATGTGCACATCCTCCTCAGCCTCCACCAACCCTGGGATGGCCCCGAGCCTTGGGGAGACCAGGGGGTGGCTTTGCTTCTTTCTATCTCCATTTCCTCATCTGTGAAATGGGCACAATTAGACCTGTCTCACAAATTGGATGTTAGATGGTCCGTCCTTTCTTCCTTCCTATCCTCCTTTCATCTGTCACCCTTTCACCTATCATTCCCTGTCAACCAATCTATTATGTATCTATCATCCATCTATCTATCTATCTATCTATCTATCTATCTATCTATCTATCTATCTATCTATGTATCTATCATCTATCTATCATCTATGTATCTATCATCTATCTACCTATCTATCTATCTATCTATCTATCAATCATCTATCTATCATCTATCTTCTCCAATCCGCCACCCCCACTGGGCACCCATTGCCCACCTGTTACATGGGTGGTTAACACTCATCAGTGATTGCCAAGCTCCCTCCTGGGCCCTGTATTTTGAAAGCTTGGATCTGCTAAACATGCTGAGCGAATCAACTACTATCCACTTCGTTCCTCATTTTAAAATGTCAGTCAGCACTCCCCTGTGGGTGGGTGGTGCCTGGCTCTGAGCCTCCCCAACACCAGCCAAAGAAACTGGAAGCTTCCATAGCCCTGCGTTTCCCGGAGGCTCTCGCCACGTTCCGGGGACCTCCAGGGACCCCCGCCCGTGTGGCCCCTGCGGTGACCTGGCTCCGAGGCTGTGTCGCCTCTGCTCTGGGGCCTGCAGTGCTGGGAGTGACCTTTTGTCCCTCTCGGCCAGGGGCTTTCTGTTCCTCATTGTTTAGCCATGACAGGGCTGTGGGTTGGTTTTTTTTTTCTTTTTCTGTCCAAGAGGATAAACAGGCCTAGAAATTGCTCAAGAGAGGACCCACCCCCTTCACGCAGAGCAGGGGAGGAAGTGTGGGGAAGGCAGTGAGAGCAAGATTCAGACAGGACTGGACCCTGAGGGGAGGCTGCTGGGCAGTGGCTGGAGGCCGGCCGCCTGCCTTTGCCCAGGAACCCTTGGCCTGTGGGTGGAGAGAGAGCCCAAACTTGACCAAGGCAGGCCCTTTCCCATCAGGCTCTCTGGGCCTGACAGGAAATCCTCCAGCCGGGCAGCCCCCCTTGGGCTGCATGCCGGGAGCCCCTTTGGTCCTGTGGTTCTCTGGCCCCACAGGAATGAGGGGCTCCCCTAGTTACTGCCTGGATGCTCGTGGGGATGCAGGGTCCAGGAGACCCTTGGGGTCACCCTGCATGGCCCCTGCCCGCCTGGGGCATGCTCTGAGGGGCGGGCACAGCCGCTTCCCTGGGGGAAGCTCCGCACAGCAGCGGCCTGCAGGGAAGGCCATGTTGGGGGGCATGGGGGACAGTCAGGCCCTCCGCTTCAGTGCGAAGGGAGCTGCAGAGGTATGCTCTCTGGTTGCGGGGCCCCCCCCATCTTTGATCACGGGGTCTCCTCCGTGTGCCCCTCCCCCAGGTCATCTTGCTGCCTCTGGGTGTCAGCTAACAGGTGTGTTGGGCAGAGGAGCGTCAGAATCACCTGGGAGGTTCTCTTTTTCTTTTTTGACAGTTTCCTGTGCCCACCCTTGAGCCTCTTGTGCCCTGTTTGTTGAGCAGGAGTTGGCATGAGGCCAGGGGCTTGGGACGCTGGCAGTGAGCCCGCCCCAGCTGTGTGGAGCCTGATATGGGGCCTTGCTTTCCCCTCATTCAGGTGCCTGGCAGCCTGCCCCAGGGCCAGGCGGAGGAAAGGACTGGGATGGAGTGTGTGTGTGTTTGTGCATGCATGCGTGTGCATGTGTGTGCATGTGTGTGCATGCGTGTGCAGCCATGGCATGGGAGCTTACAGTCCGGATGGGAGCTTACAGTCCGGACGGGAATGGAAGTTATCTTTTAGACTCCGTGTTTAGACTCTCTCCCACCCTCACCAGAGCTGACTGCCTGGGCTGAGCGGGGGAAAGGACTTCACCTGGCAGCGTGGTGGGTGCTCCCATGTTGGGGCTCCATGTCCTGGTGCAGGGTCAGATCCCTCCGGGAAATGACATTGGAGTGAAGCCTGCTGCTTGGATTAGTGAGCCCTGGGTGGTAGCAGCGTCACCCCCAGCCTGCAGCCTCAGAGGGTGTCCGTTTAGTGGGTACAGGCCTGTGTGCCAGGACCCTGAGGGAGGAAGGTCAGGACTCGGGGTGCTAGTGATTACTCAGGGTGGGGTGTGGGCAGGGAAGCCTTGAGGCAGAGGCTGCTGTCAGAGGGGACAGTGGGTTTTGTCAGGGGAAGCAAGAGGCTGTTCCAGGCGGAGGTGACAGTTCAGGCAGGAGCGCGGTCGGGGAGGAGCTGCAGATTTCGGGGCAGCTGGAAACCCCGGCCCCGGGTGGGGGGTTGTCCAGGAGCCAGGACGGGTCTGGGACTGCCAGTCGGGCCGGCCGAGCAGGGAAGGAGCTGGGTTTCCGTTCTCAATGCAGAGGCCAGCCGAGGGCCCAGCTGCAGCAGGATGGGCGGGGAGCGGAGCGTGAACTCCACCACAGCAGCCGTCCACCTGGAGGCCGGGTCACTCTCAGGCAGCACCATGGCAGCTGGGGGGTGGGTGCTCTAGGGGGTCTGCCTAGAGCACCTGCAGCACGTAGACCCACCCCTGGCAACCTGTCAGTGCTCGGGAAATGGTAGCCATTGTTACTGTCATCCACAAATGCTCATCTGCTGAGCGCCAGCTCTGCCGGGGGCTGCATGCTGGCAGCTGAGGGTCCAGAGTCGGTGAGGCCATCACTCCTGCCCTGTGTATTGCAGACGTGTGTGTGTGTGTGTGTGTGTATGTGTGTGTGTGTGCACACACGTGCACATGCACCCATGCAAAATGGGAGGAGAAGTAGGTACCCCATTTCAGCACAATGAGATGATTGTTTGGAGGGGCTGCATCCAGCGTTCAGAGAGAGTCCAGAGGAGGAGGAACCTGAATCAGCCTGGGGGAGTCAGGGAGGGCTTCCCAGAGGAGGCAGTAGTTGGTTGGAAGGAGGCAGGGACTCTCCCTTCTACCTTCCCCTCGCCCCCCACCGAAAGGGAGAAGTCAGGTCCTCCGTCCATCCATCGGTGAGCCCCAGAAGGGGCTTGTGGGACACAGGATGGGGATCTGGGTGTCGGGTGTGGCCAAGCTGATGGCTGTCCTTCTTCCCCCTTCCAGGTGGTGTTCACCCCCTACGCCCCGGAGGACGGAAGCTCGTGCCAGTGGAGAGAATACTATGACGAGAGGGCCCAGATGTGCTGCAGCATGTGTCCTCCTGGTGAGGGACCACCCGGAGCCCTGGCCCTCAGACTGGCCCGGTTCCTGGGGGCTGGTGCTTGGGAGGGAGTGTATGTGTGAGGGTGGAGTGGGCAGGGTCATAGCTCTCAATTCTTCCTGAACTCCTTCTAGTTCCGTGAATCAGCCTTATGGTCCCTCTTGCTTCTGGGGCCTTGCATATGCTGTTCCGTCTTCCCAACTCCTTTTCCCTGGAAACGCCCTACTTATCTGTTAGACCTCAGCTTAGATGGCCCCAGGTGGAGAATTTTAGCCAAATATAAAGAAGAAAGGGGCCGGCAAACCGGTTCTCACTAAAGTGTGACTGACTAATGGACAGGCGGTTTTGATGGTGGAATGCCAGGCATCTGGAAGGAGCAGAGGGGAGGATATTTTCTGATCAGTGGGGGTTCAGAGATGGAGTGGCAGCTGGTACTTGCTGGATGTGAGATGAGTCGATGGAGGAGTTGGAACCCCATCAAAGAGCTTTCGCAGCTCCACTACAGATCGCTGGGGTTCTGGGGAACAGTGGATGAGCTCAGGGTCCGGGCAGCAGCCAACTCCCCTGAGACCACTGGCCCTGGCTTTCTCAGGCTACCACGTCCAGTCTTCCTGCACCAAGACCTCAGACACCGTGTGTGCCCCCTGCGAGGACAGCATGTACACCGAGCTCTGGAACTGGGTGCCCGAGTGCTTGAGCTGTAGCTCCCGCTGCAGCTCTGGTGAGTAGCCCCAGAGCGAGGGGTGGGCCCCAGCATCCTCCCCTGGGCACCTGGACTCCAGCCCCTTTGGCTGAAAGCTGATGTGGGTTACCCCAGACCTGCTGCTCCATGCCCCGGGGCATGAGGTTGCGTGGGCACAGTTCTTTACTATGTACCCGAAGCATGTTCATCCTGTCTTACTGAATCCCCTTCAGTGCCCCATGGGGCAGGCCGGCCAAGAGCCGTGGTGGGAGAACTGCCCGCTGTAGCGTTGAAGGCGTTGTGTCTTGCTTGTGCCGTGGAGCAGAAGGAGACTGCAGGCCATGGAACTCTGTGGGGAGGGGCGGGACCCATCGCCTGTTGGAGAACAGAGCTGTCTGAGGGTGGTGGGCTGGCTGGGAGGGCAGAGCGGCATGGCTGTGAGCAGGGCCAGTGGAGGCAGGAATGACCCTGGTCCGCCCTCTCGCCCCTCCAGAACTGGTAGAAGCTCAAGCCTGCACCCGGGAGCAGAACCGTGTGTGCGCCTGCAGGCCCGGCTGGTACTGCGTGCTGAAGAGCCAGCACAGGTGCCAGGTGTGCGCACCGCTGCGCAAGTGCCCCCCTGGCTTCGGTGTGGTCAAACCAGGTACGGGGTCGGGCAGCTGGCCTTGGGGTCCCCTTTGGGTCTCTCCTTCACGGGCATCAGCTCCTCAGCTCAGCCTGGGAACATTGTCGGTGGTGGCCTGCTATCCAGTAGGTGCCTGATTAGGTACCTAATGTGTGCTAGGCCCTGGGGATCCAGAGATGGATCAAATTAAGCCCTAAGCTGCTGGGAAATCAGGTGGTGCCCCAGGAAGGTGAACCCATGTGACCCCGGAGACCAGGAAGTCACCAGAATTGGTTAAAGAACAAACTCCCTAGCTGTGTGTTTGTGGGCGCGCATGTGCGTGCATGGTGTGTGTGTGTGTGTGTGTGTGTGTGTGTGTGTGTGTGTGTTTTCGGAGGTAGAGGTGCAGACAGTTCTACGGGTCCTCTGACTTCCCCTAGGGCTTCAGTGCCAAGGCCTCCCTGTCCCACGGAGCATCTGAGTTGGTGACAGGTCCCAATTTTTCCTTGATTGAAGGAACCCCAACATCGAATGTGGTGTGTGCTGCCTGTGCCCCAGGGACCTTCTCAGACACGGCGTCATCCACAGGACACTTGCAGGCCCCATCGGTTGTGAGTGGCTGAGCCCCTTGGTTCTGGGGGAGCAGGGAGGGGCTGCCCCGGGTGGATGGAGGGTCTAGAATACACAGTGGTGGGTGTCATGGTGCCTGAAACCCCCACTCTCGCCCCTTGGGTTGCTGAGGCCTGTTCAGTGCCAGGACGGGTTCATCTAATGGTGGACGGGTCCCAGGACAGCATGGCGAACAGTAGCCTTGCCCTGGAAGTCAAGACTGAGTGGGGAGCATGGGGACAGGGGGGCGGGTGAGGCGAGGAAGGGGTGGTCCTAAAAGATGGCAGGCACGTCCTCACTCCCTCATCCACGCTGCTGGGACCCTTGCCCTCTGAGCTGTCTCCCACAAGGGAGCCCAGCCACCCCGAGCCGTCCTGTCCTCTGCTGCCCCCTGACCAAGCGCCTCCTCTCCCAGCTGTGAGTCGACGGCCATCCCTGGCAATGCAAGCATGGACGCGGTCTGCACGCCTGTGCTCCCCTCCCTGCGTGTGACCACAAGCGTAGCCCTCAAGCCCCAGGCAGCGTCCACAAAATCCCAACCCATGGAGCCCACTCCAGGACCCAGCACAGCTGCCAGCATGTCTGTCCTGCTCCCCGTGGTCCCAAGTGCCCCGGCCGAAGGGCTCAGCACCGGGAACATCTCTCTTCCAGTTGGTAAGTCACAAGAGGGCCCGTTCATCCTTCCTCCCTCCCGCCTCAGACTCACCGAGAGCCCGCTGTGGGCTGGATGCGCGCCGTCCTGGGAGGCAGGTGGCAGGGAGACTTGTCTCCTCCCAGGACCTGGTCCTGTCACTGAGAGACCCCGAGTCGAGAGAGGCGGGCTTAGCTTTTTTTAAAATTTTAAATATATATTTTTATTGATTTCAGAGAAGAAGGGAGAGGGAGAGAGAGAAACATCAATGGTGAGAGAGAATCATGATTGGCTGCCTCCTGCATGCCCCCCACTGGGGATCGAGCCCGCAACCCAGGCATGTGCCCTCCCCGGGAATTGAACTATGACCTCCTGGTTCATAGGTCGACGCTCAACCACTGAGCCATGCCGGCCAGGCTGGGCTCAGCTTTTATCTCAAAGGGGAGGTGGTCTCCTGGTTGTTGGTTCTGATGAACCATCGGGCTGTGAAGATAGTGGGCTGAGCCACATCATCTCATGGGCTGTCCATCTGGGGGTAGGGACGACACCAGGCTTGAACGGTCAAGCTGGTGGCCCTCGAGCTTGCCTGGCACACAGTGTTTGGTTTGTTCGTGTTGTAATTGAATGCCGGACCTCTGGCCTGGGCTTGCCCCTCCCCTGGGACAGCCCCAGCCATCTTTGGTCACCGACGGACCTGCCAGGCCCCTGCTAGAAGTCCGTGTGCTTTTTGCAGCTGGTTTGAGCTTCTCCTTTCCTTCCAGGACTCATTGTGGGTGTGACAGCCTTGGGACTGCTAATGATAGGGCTGCTGAACTGTGTCATCCTGGCCCAGAAGAAAAGTAAGATTCCGTTCCTTTTCCCTGGATCCGTTTGTTCAGGAAGCTGGGTGCCTACTGTGAGTCAGGGCCTGGGCATAGCCCGAGGGCTCAGACAGAGCTGGGTACCGTAGACTCTGTAGGAGCTTAGAGCCTGGGAGGAGGGCACTTCTGCTAACTTAGCTACTGAAAGGCAAGGCTCCATGAGGGCGTCCCAGGGGGAGGAGTCCAGGATTCTTGTGGGGCATTCTGGGGGGAGTCAGGCCTCGGGGGCAGGTGGGGTTTGAGCTGGGTAAGATTTCAATGGGGGGCTTTGTGCAGGAAGGGCGTGCTCAGCAGAGGACAGGCGTGAGCCAAGGTGCGGAGTTTGGGGGAAAAGCAGTTGGGGGGATAGAAGGGAATGGAGTAGTGCAGAGCCAGCTGGAGGGCTGGGTGTGGGTCTTCGTGTGCCTTGTCTGGGAGATAATTATTTCCCCCTCGGCTGGGTGTACTCCCACCGGTTCTGCTTGGGCCCCACGCTGCCCTCCTAGTTAGAACAGCCGTGGCCCGAGGAAGACACTGTCCCTGACTCGTCCCCTCTCCCCTTTGCAGAGAAACCCTTCTGCCTGCCTGGAGACGCCAAGGTGAGTGCCCCTCCCCTGCTCTCCTTCCAGGAAGCAGTGGGTTCTGTAGGTGGGTCTGTCCAGGGCCAGCTGGTGTGCAGAGCCCTGAGAGTTGGAGGAAAGGCCAGCCAGGGCTGATCAAGGAGACCGAGTGTGAGATGCCACGGCCAGGAGCAGGGTTAGTGGTGTCCGTGGCAAGCATGTGGTCATGGACCTGTGGTGTGACCTTGGGCAGCCGGGAAATGGCTTGTGGCTCCGTTTCCTCACCCTTAAACGGGGACAGTGGTGCTCAGGGGCTGTACCATCCACTCAGCTGGCAACAATTCTCAGCATCTCTGTGGTGCTTACAAAGCACTTCCTCAAAGAGCAGTGGTTTTCAAACTGAGTGCCAAGGTACCCTGGTGTTCCACGGAGGGGGTCTGGGGGTCATCTTTGGGATTGAGATGGTGGCTAGAGGGCTGGGCTCTGGGTCCCCCTTCTTCAACCAAAGCAGCTCACCTTAGATCTTTTTTATAAAGTAGGGTCTGTGATCAGTTTTCCATCAGGAGGGCATTTGGCCACAAGTAACCGAAAACATAAGGGTTACTTAAAGCAAGAGGGCTTTATGTTTCTCACATGCTAAGAGGTCGAGGGGTTGATGGCTGCTGGAATAGGTCAACTGCATCCTTTGAGGGGCGGTAGGACCCCGGGCTCTGCCATCTTTAGTGTGTTGGCTTTTGTTCTGTTGCTTGTGGCTTCATGTCATGAGAGGGGATCACCACTTCCTGTGACCTCAGGTTTGAGGTGGGCAGAAGAGGGGGTCATGGCCCGCCATGGTGCCTTTTATCAGGAAATCAGCGCTCTCCCAAAAGCCCTGGGTAGACGTCTCCTTTTGTCCCATTGGCCTGAATGGTGTCACGTGACCACGCCTAGCTGCAAAGGAGTCCGGGAAATGGGGCGCTTTGCTTTCCCAGCCTCGGTGGTGGAGGAAGACAAGGGAGAGGGCTTGGGAGTGGGTGTGGGGTGAGCCAGTGCACAGTGGCTGCTGCACTCCCGAATCTGGTAGGCAGGGCAGGGTTTATACCTGCTTCTACAGACGAGGAAAGAGCTCCCTCCAGGCCCCCCGTCCTGCTGGGCAGGGTTCCTCAGCCTCGGCGCCATCACCCTGTCCTTGTGGGCTGTCCTGTGCTTTGCGGGCTGCTCAGCAATAGCGCTGGCCTCTCCCCAGTGGATGGCAGCAGCCCTGCCTCCAAGGAGTGACAGTCAAAGATATCTCCAGACATTGCTAACGCCCCCCGGAGGGCAGAGCCACCCCCAGCTGGGAACCACTGTGCTAGGGAGCAGCTCAGCCCCGGGCAGCCCAGTGCCAGAGGCTTACATGGGACTTGGGACTTGGTAGGGACTAACGACTGATTTCAGGTCCCGATTTTGTGGACAAGCGAAGAGGAAGGGACTTGCCCAAGGCCACACGGCACCGTGTCTCTGGACTCCCGGCTCTGCAACGTTCCAGCCGACGGGAGCACTGGTTTGGGAGTTCGGACATTTTCTCATCCCCCCAGGGTGCGAATGCCACTCCTTCCTCTTTCTGGCTTCCATTCGGTGACACTGGCAGCCGCCGAGGGGTGGCACAGAGGGCACGTGTGCCCTCCGGGCTCCTCCCCAGCACCCAGCTGTCACGTCTTCTCTCCTTCCTGGCCAAGTGTTTCCCAACACCCAGTGCAGTGAGCTGTCCCAGGTGTGACCCTGCAGCCGCACTTCCCCTTTCCCTACACAGAGTTCTGTGTTCACTGAGTGTGAGCAACGCAGCTACTATTTTGGAGAGCTGTTGTGTATAGGGCGGGTGCTGGTAACGGGCCCTCCGGGCAGGGCAAAAACCCCGAACCCCTGATTTGTGGTGTTAGCTCATTTCTGTGCCATAAACACTCCCACCGTCCCATTTCAAGCTGCCCAGTGAGGGCCTGGAAGGACTGACGCATAGGTCTGAGCTGGCCGTGCGCTCGGCTCCTGGCCCGTGTGCCAGCCTCGGTGCCTGTGCTGCGGCTCTGGCTGCAGTGAGGTGCCCAGTACAGTCACCCCCTTTCCCAGATGAGGAAACCCAGATTCAGGGAGGTTCTGTTCCCCGTATAAGGTCAGGCTGCTTGGGAAGTGACAGAGCCCAGGTTGGAAACTCCGTCTGAATCTGCAGGTTTGGCCGGGCCAGGCATTCAGGGCCGCTCCAAGCCCCCCGAGCCCCCACAGGCCTGCCCTCAGAGGCTGGTCACCTCCCCAGATGCCTGCCCTTCAGTCCCCAGGCTCCCACTCCCTCGCTTAGCCTGTGCCCACCCTGTTCCTCCGCTGCTGGCTGTGGTCCCTGCTGTGAGGCTGCTTGGTCCCGCCCCAGGTCTAGTCTGCTGGGGCGGAGAGTGCATGACTCAGCTCCTCCCCGCCCCTCCTGCTGCGGAAGGAACCCCAATGCCTGGCAGGGCAGTGGCTTCCCCTCTTTTGGGAAAGGTCAGCGTACCCTCATAGGTGAGCTCACCCACAGTCACCCCCACGGACACACTCGTGCACTGCTCACATTGAATAACGAGAGTGGGCATTTATGAGGTGCTGACGTATGCCAGGCACAGTCTGAGCGTTATTTATTCCCACAGCCGTGCTGCGGCACAGGCAGTGAGATGATTGCTCCAGTTTTACGGCCCAGGAAACTTGGGTCCAGAGCTACTAGGTAACTTTCCCAAGATCACACAGCTCGTGCGTGGCCTGGGACACAAACCTAGGCGTGCCTCTCTTCACCACCCCCAGCCGACGTGCCCACATGTCCCCCATAGACATGTATGTGTGTACACTTCACATTCCTTCACACCTGTACACGCGGGTGTGTGAACCTCATGGACGCACACTCGCACATGCAGACACATGGACCCTCGTCCGGAGGACCTAGTGGTGGCTCTGCCAGGGTCTGTGCATCCAGGCAGGACTGGGCTGGGAGGGGCTGGGAGGTGAGGAGGAGCTGGCTGGCTGGGGTCCTGGTTTTTTGCATGAACTCCCTCAGCATCCCCCCCCCTCTTTCTGGGGTCCCAGCCCAAGGAGCAGCACCCAGGATTTCTCTGCCCCACTCAGAGCCTGTCTGAACTTTGCAACTTGTGGCCTTGGGGGAGGGAGGCAGCTGTGACCTTTGGGGGTTTCTGTTCTGCTGGGCCTTGGCCACCGGCAGAGGAACGTGAAAGCCCCTTCTCTGGGGGGTGGTGAGGAATGACATTTGGATGCGCCTCCTCTCCCTCCCGCCCGCCTGTCCCAGTTCAGGGCAGGGCTCGGAGTGGGCAAGTTCAGCATGAACTAGAAATCTAGAAGTGCCCTCCTTCCCTTGAAAACTGGGGGAGCGGGGAGCCAGGGAGTCAGGACACAGTGGCAAGTCTCCAGCTTGGGGACACTGTTCTGGGCTGGTCCTGCCCCTCCCATGGACCAGCTGTGTGACTCAGAGCAGGGGACACACCCTCTCTGGGCCTCCATGGCCTCCCGGGGCTGCTTTAGAAGGATCCTCCTTGTAAGAGGCTATGAGCTGGCCTCGGGATATTGAGGGCTCCTGGGGCTCAGGTGCTGAGGGGCCACAGCCAATGTGGGCGGGACTGGGGGCCAGGGCTGCAGGATTGGCCAGTCCCGGGAGGGATGAGGTATTCTGCCTCTGCTCAGAGCACACCTGAATCTTGGCTCCTTCTGGAGCAAGGCCTTGGGGTCTCAGTGTTCCCTGGGGCGGGGGTCTACCGTGCCTGTGGCCCCCACCCCACAGCAAACGCTCACCCTCTGACCCTACCTCTCTCTACCGCGCTAAGATATATCTCGCCAACCCTTCACTCGCCTCAGTTCTCATTTTACCCTCATCCTTGGCAGTGGGTGAAAGTGTGGCCCCTGATTCAACAAACCCTTGTATGGAACTTACTATGTAACAGCCGCTGTTCTGAGCACTTTACCATTTACTCAGCCATTTAGTCTTCACAATACCCCTAGGAGATGGGCTGTTATTCTCCCTTTATACTAGTAGATGAAAAATGGAGGCACAGAGAGGCTAAGTAACTTTTTCAGGGTCACACAGCTAGTGAGTGATGAAGTCATGATTTGCACCCATGCGTCTGGCTCCAGAATCCATGCTCTTGGCTGCTGGGCCGGGCCACCCTGTGCTGAGGGGGTGGCCTTGGGAGAGTCACTCTCCTTCTCTGGGCCTCCATCCTGCCCTGCCTCTCAGGGGAGAATGATTTGGAGAACAGGGCCCTCTGAGCCCTGCCCGACGAGGGCTCACACTCCAGCAGGGCAGGCAGGTGCTAATCACAGAAACCGTAGAGGACACACGTCCCCAAAGCACCTTGTGTGGAAAGAACATGCACGGTGGGCAGAAGCAAGTAAACTTCAGGGCTTGTGACACGAGGCGCAGATGGTGGTGAGGAGGAGGAAGGAGGAAGGAGGGGAGCTGGCTGAGGCCTGACCGCTGTCCCTCCTCCCTTCCCCATCCAGCCTCACCTGCCTGCTGATAAGGCCCAGGCAGCTCCTGGCTCCGAGCAGCAGCACCTGCTGACCACGGCGCCCAGCTCCAGCAGCAGCTCCCTGGAGAGCGCGGCCAGCGCTTCGCACAGGGGGACGCCCACCAGGAACCAGCCACAGGTGCCGGGGAGGGACCAGCCCACTGGGTCTGGGGAGGCCCGTGCTGGCTCCGGGAGCTCAGGTAAGTGGCCCCGGCTTCATCCCCGCTTCGTGATTCTTCCTGCTTTCTGACTGAGCCCTTCCTCCTGGGCCCCAGCTTCCAGCAGGGCCTGAGAAGCCCTGCACAGTAGCCGTGGGTTGCCCCCCAGTGCAACACGCAGCCACCAGGCTCTTTGGGTTCCCTGAACCCCCCAGTTCCCTCCCACCTTTGCCCATGTGGGTTCTTTCACCAGGAGCACCCTTCCTTCTAGACAGCCCTAACTTGTCCTTCGAGTCTGATATCCAGGCAGGGTATAGCATACCCTATATAATAAAAGCCTAATATGCTAAGTGTCCAGTCATCCAGTTGTCCGTACAATCAAGGCATAATATGCTAATGATAGGCTAAGGCTGCTCTACCGCTCGCTATGATGTGCACTGACCACCAGGTGGCAGACAGTCGACTGGTCAACCACTCGCTATGATGTGCACTCACCACCAGGGGGCAGACGCTTCGACTGGTAGGTTAGCTTGCTGCTGGGGTCCGGCCATGCCCTGGAGCCCTCCCGTAGTCCTTCCCTGGCTGGCCAGCCTCCTGTGTCCTCCCTGGCCCCGATTGTGCACCAGGCCCCTAGTCTAATATAAAGTAGTAGTACATATTTTTTTATTTTTAGGGGATATTTATTAAAGCTGGGGAGAGTGAAACAAGGAAGGACCTAGGATAACTGAAGAGGGACTGTTTGGGGAAATGAGCCCAGCTGAGTTGCTTTGGCTCAGTAAGAGGTCAGAGAAAGGGGGCCTTGTGCTGCCCATTGGGGCGGCACAGGCGTGCTCCTGGGAGGTAGAGTGTCAGTATTACATATTAATGTTACATTATTATATGATATCATTGTTTTATAATTCTGTAATATATTATAATATTAATATTGATCATATTGTATAGTCAAGGAAACTGAGGCCCAGAGAGTTTAAACAGCTGTTCAAGGACACACAGCTCGTAAAGAGAGAGCTGGGCATCCCCCTTGGGCTTGGGGGCGGGAAGCTACATGAATAGGGGATGCCTCCAGGGCTCCCCTGTGTGGCTTGTTGCCAGTCCCTTTGGGCCTGAGTCCCCAGGACCGGGTGTGAGTTCTGGAGGAGCATTTTGCCTGGATTTGGTCTGTGACAGGGATCACAGTGCTCAGTGGAGGGCGCCCCTGCAGGGGCCCCCGGGAAGCCTGGAGCTTCCTTGGGTGTGTTTGGTAGTCAGGTCTGTGGCCTGCGTCTCTCCCACTCCCCCGCAGAATGGCAGCGGACGCGGTCATTTCTAGATGCCCTCCCAGACGGTGCCTCGGGCATCTGAGGCGGCTCCTTAACCCCACTGAGCCTCAGCTTCTTCACCTGGAGATGAGCCATGGCCCCTCCTTGGCAGGGCTGCCACCCCTTCCCTACCTGTCACCCCACTCAGGTTGCCTCCTCCCCGGGCTGCCCACATCAGCAAGGCACCCGGCTTCTGCTTCTCCTCATGGCCTGCCCTCCTCATGTGATGTCAGTGCCCCCACCCCAGCCTCAGAGCTCCCGGGGGACCATTGGGTCAGTGCCCAGAACACAGCAGGTGGCCCTGAATGTTTGTAGAATGAATGAATGAACTGCAAATGTAAACTGTCGGTCTTCATCCAACTTTTGGATTCACCTTTCCGATCCTTAGCGATACCTCTTCCACAGCCAGCCTGGTGTGGGTTCCTCCTTGCCCCCGTGTGGACCCCTGACCATGTCTGCCCACCCCTTCCACCCTCTGCCCCTTCTCTGTTCGCTCTCCTCTTGCCTCTCTGGCCTCTGCGATCCCCTTCTGTCCCTCCCACCCACCCGGCACCTCTCGCCACTGTGGGTTCGGGTAAACCCCCGCACTGCGCCGTTGTGGTCCCCTGTCCGCCCCCACTGTGTCTCGTTCACAGTGTGCAAAGGCCATGGTGACTTAGGGTGACATTTGGGTGCCGTGCAGACTCAGGGTGGAAATTTCCTTCTGGCCCCGTGAGTTCAGCCCTCCCTTGCCCTGGCCTATTTGGGGTTGTCCTGAGAGAGGGGAGCTCACCAGCTCTGACCTCCTCTCGGAGCCCCTGGAGTTGGGGGAGCTGGGCTGGGGGAGGACTGGAGAACAGCCAGCCCGTCCTCCCTGCCTCTGGGCACCACACCCATTTGTGCTGAGCGGGTCCCCACAGTCCCAGCAGCAGCTGTCACTTTTTGAGAGGCTCTGTGCCTCCAGCTCCTTATATTCCTCTCCCGGCTCATCCGTCATTCTGTCCCACGCTGACCAGTTAGGAAACTCAGATGCCCGCAGCGGATGGGCGGAAGGCGGGATGAACCTGTGCCCGGAAGCCCTCCCTGCCAGCTGTGTTCAGGGATGTGGGCCCTCCATGGCCAGATCTCCCCCATCTGGCTCCCGAGGAAAGCCATAAATCAGATTTTAAAAACGTAAATTTATTTTATTTATTTTTAATTTTTAATTGGGAGAAGCCATTCCTGGAAAAGGTGCAATTTTTATTTTATTTTTAATTCCTGAATTTTAAATGTTGGCAGCCAATTCTCTTAAAAAACACGACCACCAACGGGCCCAGTGCTTTCTCCCACATGTCGTAACCGGCCTTTGGGCAGGGGACAGGCCATGATGGCCTCCCCACTGCAAGACCCCGGCTGACCACCCTCTCCTCTTCTGCAGAGTCCTCCCCAGGCGGCCACGGGACCCACGTCAATGTCACCTGCATCGTGAACGTTTGCAGCAGCTCTGACCACAGCTCGCGGTGCTCCTCCCAGGCCAGCTCCACGACGGGGAACGCGGACCCCAGCCCCTCCGGCTCCCCGAAGGACGAGCACGTCCCCTTCTCCAAGGAGGAGTGCCCTGTGCGGTCCCCGCGCGGGGCCCCCGAGACTCTGCTGCAGAGCCTGGAGGAGAAGCCCCTGAACCTGGGCGTGCCTGACGCCGGCATGAAGCCCAGTTAACCAGGCCGGCAGGGGCCGCGTCGCCGCTGAGTGGGCTGGCCTCGGGGTCTCCCTGGCCCCCACGCCCAGCGCTCTGGCTCCTTCTAGGCCACGTTCCTTTAGTGGCCTCCACAGCCTGGCAGGCAGGGAGGAGGCAGGGAGAGTCAGAGAACCCCTCCGGTCATGGGCATCCTTCTCCCGAGGCTAGCTGGACGTGCTGGGCAGCCCCGCGGGTCCGGGTCCCTGCCGCTCTGAGCTGCCCCCTCGCTGGGCCTGTGGCCCTGGCTTCTGAAACCCTTGTTTCATCCCTGGGCTCTGGCTCCCCGGGAGGTTCCAGCGTCCAGAGAGGCCGTGGGGGAGGAGGGCGCGGTGGGAGTCATCCATGCAGGGTGGTCCTGGGTGGGGGGCTGTCATCAGCCAGATGGTTCTGTGCAGGGTGGGGTCCCCTGGGTTAGCTAAGGACCCTTGGGAAGCACCACCTCAAATCCTTTCCTGCTGGTTCCGCCTCCTGAAGCACCACCTCAAATCCTTTCCCCCCAGAGGCCCAGCAGGCAGCCTGGATGATATTGGACCCCCAGAGGCCCAGCAGGCAGCCTGGATGATATTGGACCCCCAGAGGCCCAGCAGACAGCCCGGGCAAGAAGGCAAACCTCTAACAGGAAATCTAATTTCAATATGTGGCAGTTTAAAAACTCACCAAAAAAAAACGTAAGCACCATGCAAACAAGCCAGCAGCACAACAAAGCCCAAGTCTCAGCGTGTGCCTTCGCTGCCTTTGACCTTCACTCCCCCTTACCCAGAGCGCCAGCCCCGCCGCCGCCCGCCCTCCTGCGCTGTCTGGTGTGGGCTCCCGGGCCACACCTTGTATCAGGGAATTTCAGGACCTGGAGACCCAGCTCCTGCAGCCATCTCTCTCCTTCTACCTCAGCCTGGACCTTCCTTTTTGGACTCCCAAGGGTGCTCCTGTTCCCCCAACCTCCTCCCGCCGCTCCTGGAGTCCCAGGCCCCAGGGGAGCCGCGGGGCCACTTTAGTACTGTGCCTGTCGCCATCCCAGGTGGATGTGAGATGCTGAGAGCCAGTCTGTGTGTGTGTGTGTGTGTGTGTGTGTGGTGTGTGCTGTGGGTCCGTGAAGCAGCCGAAGCCAACAGTTTTTCGAGGGCATTCTTACTTGTTAAAGAGCCTGCCCACTCCCCCCAAACACACTTGTTCACTCCCCGCAGAGGAGTGGAAGGAACAGGGCCTGGGGCTCCTGGAGAAGCCATTTGAGTCTGTGGTACTTGGATCTTTGTTGAAAAAGACTTGAACTTTGCAGCTGAACTTTTAGAGAGTCGGAGCGTCCAGCCATTACCTTGGAGACACGAGAGGCTTCCCACCGTGGATTCAAGATGTGCTTACTGACTACCTGGACCCGTCCGGGCCTCTGCCCACGTTGGACCCGGCGTGGTTATGGAGCAGGTCTGCCCCCTGGTGGACAGTTCCGGGAGGCCCTCCAGCCGCCTTTCCATCCATCCCCCCAGCAGAGCCGGGAAGCCATGAATTAAAGAGACTCTTCCTGGATGTAGCCTCGGTTCCCCGGCTTGTGTGGATCCCAAGGCCATGAGAGTTTGCACTGTCTGCTGGTCAGCATTCCTGCTTATAAATAAACCTGTTTGTTTTACATATGACTGCCTCCTGCCTTCTCAGGGTCCCGCCTCCTTCCCTGGTTCCTCCTCATCTCGGTCCTTGTGAAGGGACGAGTATTCCTGCGCTTGTGGTTAGGGCAGGCACTGGCTTAGGTGCTGGGATGCAGCAGCTACTGGGAGAGGCCTGCAGAAGGGAAGGAGGAGCTGACACTTGGGGCGGGGGAGGTGGTGGAGGGGCGCGGGCGCAGCGAGAGGTAAGGAAGAGCTCCCAGGCCAGGAGGGCAACGGGAAAGGGATTCACTGAGGAGCTGCAACCAGTGGGGAGATGCCGCCAGATCTGTGATTTGCAAAGACACAGGGGCGGGGGTGGGGGGCCGGGCGGAGGGAGGCCCCCTGGCCTCTACCAGGAGGTGGGGTGGCCGCTTTGGCTACATTGAGCGCTGGCGAGGGAGGGCAGAGTGAGAGAGCGGCGTGTGCGGGTGGTTCTGCACACACCCCTCTAGTTCCTCCGTCCGCCCAGCTCTGTAGCCCGAGGCTGCCCCCTGCAGGCCACACGCCCCGCTCCGCCCTCAGCCTTCCAGCAGGGTTTGCCCGCGGGAAGGCACCGACAGGAGACTGGGGGTGGGAGGGGAGCGAGGCCTGGTGTATGTCCTCCTCCCCACACCCTCCCAGCGGTCTTTACGTGTGACCACCCTCTGCTGTGCTCTGCTGCCCCCACTCCCTCTCCCGCCCCAACAGTCCCTGGTCCGGCTTCCCCCTCTATAGGCTGGGGTAGTAACAGGCGATTCAGTGCGAGGGGACGTCACCAAATGTGGTTTTCTCTCCACGCACCAAGCAATCCAATCCCCACACTATCTACCTCAGTGATGGCGAACCTTTTGAGCTCGGCGTGTCAGCATTTTGAAAAACCCTAACTTAACTCTGGTGCCGTGTCACATATAGAAATTTTTTGATATTTGCAACCATAGTAAAACGAAGACTTATACTTTTGATATTTATTTTATATATTGAAATGCCATTTAACAAAGAAAAATCAACCAAAAAAATGAGTTCGCGTGTCACCTCTGACACGCGTGTCATAGGTTCGGCATCACTGATCTACCTGGAGGTGAAACCAGACAACCAGGGGGTCCAGGCTGCCTGTCGCTACTTGAGCCAATTAGGCAGAGACAGCGTTGAATCATATATGAGCATTTATTCCAAGACTGCCGGCAGCGTGAGGGAGCAGCAGGTCACCCACAAACATCTGCTCTGCAGCCCCCCGTAAGCCAGCTGCTGATATAGGGCAGGACAAGGATTACGTGGGGAAGTAGAACTCACAGGCATGGGCTGGGGCAGGACTCCACTGTTTGGGCAACAAGCTTGTTAATCTTTCCATGATACTAGATATTAGGCACTTTTTGAATGAGAATGGACCGTCTTCCAAGGTTGACTACAAGATCCAAGGTTGACTGCCAGGACCCAGGTTGACTCCCTGGGGGGGTACAACTCCCAGCCAGGTCAGAATGTGCTTTCTTTAATCAGAACGAGGCAGTCGCGGTTAATAGAGCATGATTAATATTTCTTATAACTATGGCTCGTCTCCACTATTCTGTTTTTGCCCCTAACAGAGATGGTGTCAGACCCCGCAGGCTGGGGGCTCAGCCCCGCAGGGCTGTCCTCACTTCTGAGGCCAGTCACCAGTCCCGGGGGCACCTGTGCTCCTGCCCCATCATCTAGAACTCACAGGCTCCACGACCCCCTTCTTGGGCCTCATCAATTGGCTCCCAGAACTCAGGAAAACAGGTTACTCACTCGATTACCAGTTATTACCAAGGATACAACCCAGATTCAGGAACAGCCAGAGAGAAGAGATGGTGGGCAAAGTTTCTGTGGGAAGAGACAGAGGCGGGGGGGGGGGGGGTGTTCATGTTCTCTCCAGTGCACCACCCTCCCAGCACCTCCACGGAGTCAGTAACCTGGGAGCTCTCATCCTTTTGGGGTTTTTTGAGGCGTCATTACATAGGCATGATTGATTAAATCATTGGCCATTGGTGATTGGTTCCAACTCCAGCTGCTCTCTCTAACCCAGAGGTAGGGGGGTGGTTGGCTGAAAGTTCCAACCTTTAATCATGTGGTTGGTTTCCTTGGCAACCAGTCCCCATCCTTAAGGGCTTCTGAAAGTCACCCAATAACATAAACTCCGTTGTGATGGAAAGGGCTTTGGTGGGAATAACAGACACTGGTTTCCCCGCGGTGGCTCTGGCGCTGTTCCAGAATATGAGGACACAGAACAAATAGTGGGCCCTGGCTGGTTAGAGCGTCGGCCCGAGGACTGAAGGGTTCCAGGTGTGATTCCATGTCAAGGGCATGTACCTTGGTTGCAGGCCCCATCCCAGGGTGAGTGCGCAGAGCCAACCAATCTCTCCGTCTTCCCTCCTCCCTTCCACTCTCTCTAAAAATCAATGGGAAAAAAAGAATATCCCTGGGCGAGGATTAACCAAAAAAAAGAACAAATATTAGAACAAAATATCAGTGACAAGACACTCCCAGTGAAGTGACCGTACGTATGCAGGCATACCTCGGAGCTGTTGCGGGGTTGCTTCCAGACCATGCAATAAAGCGAGTCGTCATATTTTTGCTGGTGGAGGGTCTTGACTTCAATTGATAAAAAATGCAACACCCAGAAGCACAAGGGAGAGGAGCGCAATGGGACCAGGTGTGCCTGCATCAACCACACTACCACAGGGGGTCAGTTCGAAGCAACGGAAGACAGCCACTTGTCTGTTGGGTGCCCAGTCAAATGGGCCCGCTGAGCCCCTCCTGCCGCTTTCTTTCCTTTAACCATCCAGGAGCAATCGGTGTCGCTCAGGCAGGGCCAGCTGGGGTGGGGAGGGAGCAACATGTTTATTCCTCTTTAGTTTCCATTCACTCATTGTCGCGATGGAGCAGAGTAGTGGATGGACTAGCAGAGCAGTCAGGCGTCCTGGGCTCTCACATCTCACCTGCCCAGGGCTGAACCCTGGCTCCACCACTTCCTGTCTGTGTGACCTCAGGCAGGTTAATGAACCTCTCTGTGCCTCACTCTCCTTATCAGTAAAAATGGGATTAAAATAGCACCTCCCTCAGGGTAAGGAACCACGTGAATTACTGCATGTAAAATGCTTGGAACTGTGCCTGCCATATAGCAAGTGCTCAGTAAATATTAGTTGCTATTTGTGTGTGTGTGTGTGTGTGTGTGTGTGTGTGTGTGTGTGTGTGTGTGCTGGGGGTGCAACAGAGTTCAGGACAGACCAGGTCGCTGCTGAAGCTGACTCGCTAGGAGAGGCTATGAAAAGAAATACCTGTAGGCTATGCCAGGGGGTGGTCAGTGCTAAGAAGGAAAATTAAGCAACCTAAGGGACAGAGAAGGGTGGAGGGTCTGTTAGTTTGCAAGGTGAGTGGATGAAGGCTTTTCTGAGGAGCTGGCCTCTGAGCGGCCTTGGGGAAGGGAGGGCTGGCCCCCCTTGGGACCTGGGGGTAGGACAGAACGTGAGGTTGGGGATGGTGGCTTCAGAAGCCACGGGAAGGATGGCGGGGACGGTTTCATTTTCAGCATGATGGGCGGAGTCCCAGCCAGGGAGTGTGAGAAGCTCTGCAGCTTTGCCAGTCTGAGTTGGGGAATTGAACTTCAGTTACTCTATCTGCATAATTGCCCTGAGAGATAGGGAAGTACCCATTATCCCCGCTTCGCAGAGGAGGAGTCGCATGGGAGGGCTGGCTGGGCTTGGTACTTATCGA